AGACCCTGGACTCTTCCTGGATGGTCTGAGCCGTAAAGTGGTCGGCGCCGGCCTGCTGGAGGAGGCTGCGGTATCCGGAGAACCACTCCGCCGGGGTGTATTTAGCGGAGCGGAAGCCCGCGGTAGCTAAGACCGAGGGCGGCTCTAAAGGGGCCCCTTGCTCCTGCCGGAGCCCCTGAGCCACCGCTCCGCCATCATAGTGTGGCTTTGACACTAACACCTCCGCGCTCATTTTCTTACAACGACTAAAACAGTTCAAATAGAGTAAAAGCAGCAGTGAGCAATTACATAAGTGACACAAAGTAGTGCAGTATATGGAGTGTTTGTTTATGGTTGCCTGGATACAAGAAACAACTCTGGTAACTTGAGGAGAGTGTAACCAATTAACAAAATGCGTGTAGATTTTTTAAATTATTCAAGTGCGTCTAGTGTGATGTCCCTATATTCCAAAGATATGCCATTTTCTGACCTGCACATTATTTGCTTTGCCCGGGAGGAAGCCATAACTAGTGGTTCAGTCATGAAGTCAGCCACAATGAATCAAAAAATGTGTGGAGGGAGAGAGGAAATTAAATAGGAGGAATAAATACATAAACAAATAAATAAATACATGAATGAATGAATGAATCTCATTGGGATCTGACGACCTTTTCTGCCTTTTCCTACGACGCCGTGTAACAGAGCCCTTTTGGAAATTCGTTCTGCTATGTGTTGTATATGTGTAATCTGATCTCATCCCATCATCCAAATAGAAGCCTTTGTAGCACGCCGATTGACGATTTGGACTCGTCGGGTATGCAATGCGGACCGTTCAATATGTAGTTGTCTTTTTTTTTTTTTTTTTAGATAAAGTTGTACAAAAGATGCCGAACGTGGATAGTTATAGTGATTTGCCGCTAGATGCCGCCGTTGACCAACAAACAGTACAAGACATATGTTACTTGTTTTAATAGGGAGCCCCAAACTTTCATTTGAAAAGATACAGCACTCAGCCACCCCGCAGTGGCCGAAGCAAAACTGCGCATTGGGGCATATGCCAATAATATTGATGATTGGTCAGAGTTCATGCAGCGGTGTGATATTACAAGAGAGAACTGCAGTTAATTAACATTCGTATAAGCAATGATACCAAATTTTATCCGGCCTACTAAAACTAATAAAAAGTATCCAGGAGCCAAGCATTTACTGCGCCCCCCCCCCCCCACACACACACACAAGATATCCAGACATATACCTTGAAATGTGAAAAACTAATTTTGAATAAAATAAACAAGACAACGACATGGCTGCATTGCTACGGTTTTGCAAATACTAAAATTGGAATGATAGATGACAAGCTAATATCTAATAATGTAATTGAATAGTGCCATTTAAAACAACATGACAAAAATATATATTTTTTTTAATTTGAATTATTAGGCCTTAACACAGTATAAAAAACGCACTGCATAGTTTTGTTCACTGTACAGCATTCGTAACTTCGATTACAGTATTTGCAGCTGTTTATAATTCCCTCAACCTTGACTAAGGCTCCCATCTGAAGAAAAACAATGCCAAAACATGATGCTGCTACTAACAGACTTCCCTCCAGTTTTGGTAACTTTTGGAATTAAGGCCAGAAAGTTGAACTTTGGTTTCCCACAGGTGTTTGGGAGATTTTGTTATTGGCATAAAATGCAAGGTTGTCCAGACTGTTTCCCCCCCCCCTTTTTTTTTTTTTTTTTTTAATCCACTTCATATAGGCTTTTATAGTGAGTTATTCAGCCCCCAGCAAAATTTATTACTGGCCCATTCCAACACACTTGCACACTTGGAATAGCCTGCAACAGTATTATGGCCCGTCGACATGAACTAATAAATCATTCTGTGGAAGTTGATATCAAGTTAAGTCTTTGCATTTGTCAATCTGTGGTTCTCGGAGACCCAATGGAAACCAGACGTATATACTTACAGCCTAAAATATTTTGCCACCTTTTAAAACTGCTGACCCCGTCATGCCCTAGCCGGTGCATCTTAAACTCGCACGGTCGTGTCGGTGGTACACCAGGAGCATGCGCTGATATTTTCCCTGATCTCAGCCATTCCCTGGCCTCTAGCTGACCACACAGCTGTGTCTTTCACATACTCCAAGTCGAACTGTTTCCATACCTCACGCACCCAAAGGTTAGCTGTCAGAACCCTGAGCAGAGGGATAAGTGTGTCCCAAATTAGGAAGGATGCAAAGGGGAGCTGGGCTTGTTGCCAGGGGGAAATTGCCAAGGGTGGGCGCAGGCCAGCTGGTGCTTGTTTTTCTGCTTGTTGACATGTGAGCAATACAGAAGACACATGTGCCCCAAAGTTTTCTTGAACAACAAGCCAGGGCTAACTGACCCTCACGCCCAAATATGAAGCAGAGTAGGGTGTCATACAGAGATAATCCTCTCAAGTCTTCAGGGCCTTCCTCCAACCTTCAGACTATGTTATGTCTATTCTTGGTTGCTTCCTGTCACTTGTCTACGCACCTTGTTACATCTACTTGACGACTAGAAAACCATATGACCATAAACTGTTTACAATCCTCTAATAAGTATTGGTAATAGTAATAATGTTACTATCATAAACTCAATATCAAATGTGTTTAAAGTAACTATAGTGAGACCAACCAATTACCTGGATCTTTTAATGTTTTTATACTCTTGATCCTTTTCAGTATCACAATAATTTCTCGAAAGTCAGATACAGTCTATGACACACTGTATGGATGTCCAGGGGTATCCAAAGTCTGGTCCGCAGGCCATTTGCTGCCTGCTGTCAATTTTTTTTTTTTTAAAGCAGCCACCGGCACAAGTGCCAAATGTAACTTTTGACCCAGCCGGCATGACTACTTAAAAAAAAAATAGCAAAGGAGTGAAAGGGTGAAGTGTGGGTGTCGGATTCGGGGTGGGTTGGAAAACTCACATCAGCAACTGGTGATACACCCCCGACTTGGGACTATCAGGAACTTTTTGGAGTTCCGCAAAGGTCTTTATAAAGCCCCATTGAATAAAGATCATTTAAATGAATGGTTTGCTTTTCGTTCTGCTGCACGTGAAGATCTGCTGCCAAGGGGCCAATCCATTTGAGTGGGAAATGGGGCCACGGACCACCCGAAATCCTGAAATATACTATTTGCTGATCACCTGTAACAGAAAGCCATGATGTAGAATTTTCTAAAAACTATTTTACATATAAAAAAGATTTTAGTGTTCAGTAAATTAAAGTTTCACAATGTCAAAGTGGCCACTGATTCATTTGATATTCTGCATTGCTAGGAGGAAAAAGTTTGGGCACATTTAATTTACAAAAAGCATTGATCAAGCTCATAAGTAATCCCACAGCAAAGGTATTTCGCAAATGTGGCTGCATGGTAGATGAATATGTCAGAGCAAGACTCACCATTTTCTTTAGGATTTGCTTGTGCAGAGGTCATGCAGGCTTGTGTTGCTGGAGAAAAAAAAAACAAAGCAAAAACGGCGTGATTTCCTACTAAAAATCAAACGTTAGCAGTTACTTTGCTTGTGGCTAACAAGAAAACAGACGTTGCTGAACGACCAAATGCCTTATCACGAATTCAATTTTAATTCAGATTCATCCACAAAAGGCCTTTCATGAGCCCCGAGGGTAGAAAACAGTTTCGGAAAATCAAATTGTTAAATTAACTGTAACACGCAAGGAATGAAGATGCCATAAAGTTTTATTGCGGCTCAGTCAATGTACAACACGTTTATTTTTGTGCATTTTGGTACTTGTTCAAATGATATGATGTATTTCATATTTATCAGATGCGTGTAAATGACCACGTCAGTTCAGCGCACGTGTTCCAAAAAACGGTCTGAAAACATGTACATCAATTTAAAAAAAAGTTATTTTCTGTAAATTTCGACACTTTGCAAAAACACATACGCCACCAAGACTCACAGAGCTGCATATTGTACACTTCTGAAAGAAGATAGTTTTTTTTTGTTTTGTTTTTTTTTTACAGTGAGCTTTTTACAAAGCAGACTTTCAATTCAAGAATGATCGAACAAAGTATCACCTTGAGGAAAATATAATCAACTTCTTAAAATAATGGCCTAATGTAAATTTCCCCAGTGTGGGACAAATAAAGGATTATCTTATCTTATCTTATCTTATCTTAAGTCATATTTTGACCCTTTTTTTTTGCCTGAAACATCTCAGGACACTGGCCAGTACTATAATCAGCCACATCCTTAGAGATCCTTCAATTGTACCCCAGAAATAAAATTAGGAATAAATATAATACTATAATTCGTATTTGTTTCAGTTTTTCATGTTTTCTGAAAAAAATAAACCCTGAAAAAAAAATGACTTGGGCCATAATTTTAGGAAGGCCAGTAGATAAGTTTTTCCGTATTGCAAAAAGTTAGTGCTTCATATGTCACATTTCAACGCTCAAAGATTTACAAACTCTCATGGTGGTACAACCACTGAGAGCATTATATTCAAGTCCAAATTCATTTGATTGGTAGCTATGATGACAGCGACATTCAATGCTTCAGTGGCTGGAGGTGCAGTATACATACATGAGCTAAGGATGTTGAATTTCTTTTAGCACAGTCCATGTGTTGTTTGATCAAGCAAGCAGGATTTTTCTTTAAATTTGATAATTGGGTAAATATTAAATATTCTTGCAAGGACGTTCCCTTAAATAGGAATTTGCAATGCAGAAGTTCTAAAAATGAATGAACAGATGTCCATTCACAACGCTAGAAAAACCCGATAGCAATTTAAAATATTACTTAATACCACATGGAAAAGTTTTTCGACCCTCTCTGTCCAGTCTCCCCAGATCATGTCATATGCTGACTTTATCTCGGATATTCCATTTGATTCCCTTGGAACCAGATGACGAAACACCACCGTTGCCATCAAGAAGTCACGAGTTTTGCAGGTGACTCAGACTTGACAGAGGGCCACTGTTTACAGTTTTGCTGCACAGCAACAATATAAGGTTGTACATCCCACACAGGTGGTACTCGGCGTATCTCCGTGACAGACTTGAAAGGTGACCTCCATTCTCAAGCTTTCAGGCGGTTACACTTTGCATTCCCTCAGTCAGCGTCAATGTGACAAGGGTTGGTTCCTGCTCTCCGAGCTCTGACGTAAAGCCTCAAGAAGTCCTTGTAACGAGGCGCGCAGCCAAGCCATGCGTCACCAAAATGGACCGAGCCGGTCAAAAGGTACTCATCCCCTCCGCGGGGAACGCCACACTTTGTGGGAACGTTGACGCTCCCTGTCCAGCGCCGCACTCGAGCCCCGCCACCGACAAACAGCCTGTTCTTCTGGTGGAAGAGCCGATTCAGAGTCAGCTGCGCCTGGGAGTGTTCGCCGGTGATCGACGGCTCGCCTTGAAAGACGCCGCTGCCCGCTACAGAGACAACAGAGACATTTTATTTACGGTGCATCAATGTTGGCTGGTGTGTGCAGTGTGGGGATGAACAATGAATCAAATTCTAATCGACATTGAAATGTCATCGAATGCAGTTTCCAAATCACAAAGGCTGCGATGCTGAGGAAAAAAAAAATGCTTCATGTCAGTCGGTCTGTCGGCATTATTTTGTATTTTTTTTTAAACAAGTGTATTTTCATGATTTATTTATATAGCGTCTAGATACATTCAGTGCTTAGAAAGTGTAGCCGACAAGTTTTATTTCTCTCTCTCTCTCTCTCATTTTTTTTAATACTTTGTGATATTTTGGTTTAGGACTTGGTGACCAAGCTCAACTTACTATACTCTCATATCAAATCATTTTTTAACATTCAAATACATTGAAATGCCATTGATCCTTTCCAAGCCCAAATCCACCAAAATGTTTGGTTACATTTTTGATAAAAACCAACAGCACTGCTTTGTATTAAAAAAAAAAAGAATATCAAGAAATGAAATGGTTTCATCAAACATTATACCTACGTGTATTGTCGTATTTGAGTGATTTTAGGGATTGGTCGGTTAGTTCAGAGTGAGCATTTGCTCCTGGCACTGTTTTCATTTTGTATTTGTGTGTGTGAACTTGGTGCGTCATTATCACATGCAATTGTTTGTTTTTTTTCTTAACAAAGCTGAGTACTCAGACACTCACAAACAACAATATAAAAAAATATATTGGCTGACTCAATGATTTTTCATGTGGTTTGTGTGCATCTAGTGTTTGTATTTACCAAAGTCACTGACGCAGACAGCCAAGAGGACTTCTTCATCCGAACACGGTTCACATGTGACTACGGTAGAAAAAAAGGAAAGCGGTATTAGCATCTCATTGTTCCCAACTTCAACATAAGGTGCCTCACTGTGTGGTTGTGGTTCTTTGATCGGGTACTTAATGGATGGACATTTGGGAGAACAACATCATGCTGCCAAGCTGCCTCACTTTTATGGGTGGCCTACCCAAAATGCACTGATCTGAGGGGCATCTGCTCTTGATTGACAGCTGAAGGACGATCGTCTGACTCTTGTGCTTGACTCTGAAATGACCTTTTGATTGGCCTGTTTGTTTTCACAAGTCTGGCTGAGACGAGATGGCGGGGGGGAGGGGAGTCATTCATGCAAGGTGAGATGGCTGAAACGGGAAAAATGGCCTCTTGCACATAAAACCACCCAATTTTGTCCTGTCACCTTCGCTCACATCACTGACTAGACAGGCCTGCGCGGAGCAGATTAACATGATCACCATCAAATTGAGGACAACTACATAATAACGGACTTTGTGAAAACTAACACGTTCTTGACTTGTGACAGCTGTTTTTGTGGTGGTGACTTGTGTCGACAATGAATTTCACTGTGCAAACTCATCAAAGCAAATTGGGCCCTCTGAAAAATCCCTTATTGTGTGCTGGAACACAAACCTTCAACGAATACTTTTGTGCATCAAAAAATGCGTTTTTTTTTTTTTTTTTTTTTAAATGTTCAGTAATAACATCGTAGCCCAAAAGGGCCAACCTCAGTGAGCAAACACTAAATTTGACTCAGTCATGTACTGGTTTTGAAATTCAGTGCAAGGAGTGCTTTCACACCTACTTAAAGTATTGCGTTTTACTAGTTGAGGTGTGCTTTCTTTCATAAGTTTCAATATTTTTATAGTATTCGGCAAGGGTAAAACGACATTGTGTATTAATATTATTATTATTTTTTTTAATTAGAGTTTTTTACATTGTTTCTACATATTGCACATTTTCACCTTTTGCGTGTGGGTCTGCATCACATGTGATAAACTGCATATAACAAGGTGTAATTTTCTTACCAAAACCAGGGTGAAGGTGTGGGTACAAGTGCGCTCCCGGACCTCGGCTGGACACCAGTTCGTACTGAAAAGCAGTTATCCTCCGACTGATGTCTGCCTGGTGGACGGCCTCCACAAAGAGAGCTCCGTCGGTGAGGCTGAAACAACGTATTTTTCTCTGCGGCTGTTCGCCCTCGGCCATCAGCAGCCTCAGATCGCCAGTGTGCTCCAAATACAAATGAGAACCCTTTTTTGAAGACACGCAGCATTAGTGCATATGCTTCCTAATGGACATGCTTTGGACAGTGGTACCTTGATTAAAGAGTGCCCCAGTTTACAAGGTTTTCAATTATGAGTCATCGCTAAGTCTATTTTTTCGGGTTATGATGAAGCAAAAATTTGCCTCATGAGTGAGCTTCAGACAACAAATAACCGTATGGCGCCAGCTTGTCAACATTTGGCCGCCATCAGTGGTTACGTGCACTGATAAGTATTTATTGTGTTTTGTGCTTGTACTTTGCATTATTAAAATACCCACAGTAATTTGTCAAATTTCTTTTATCTAACCATGGAACCTCAGAAAGTGAATGTTGAGAAAGAAGCGCCGGAAGACGGCGATTGAATTAACTACACTTTCCACCGATCTAATCGACGAGATCGGATTGGACGATAGTTTGCATTTTATACAAATGTTGTTTTTCGATGGAATGTCATAATTCATCATTGATCAGAGGCGTGATTTAAAACATCTCAGACAACATAATCTCATTTACTCCGGGGACACTCTAAATAGTCATTGTATATGTTTGAAAACTAGTATATTCTTAGCCTTGTCTCGTGTTTGTGGAAGTTACGCCTCTGCATGCTCGATCATGTAGGTTTTCATGTTCTATTTGTGATTTATGTAGTTTAAAAAAAAAAGTTTCAGTTGACAAACTGACTCATGGAACCAATTCTTAATCTGATGTTCTACAATATGTGCAGTAAATAAATAAATTACATACGTTGCCCCATCTTGTGATTGGATCGGTGACCGACTCCCACAATCCTGATCGTGTAAAGCCTAAAATTAATGCTTCAAATCATAAGCCAGGTGTGTAGAGGAGTCAATTTGGATAATTTTCAGTTTAACAAGGTCTCTAAACGATTCATTGATTATCAAAAATAATTAGCAGTTCAAATGATAATCAATGAGGTGTTGATAAATTGTTGCAACTCATCTGCACAGGTCTATTCTTCCTATTAAAAATATTATGTAAAATTTGTTGATGTTTTTTTTTTTTAATTGGCTGGAACAGATTAACTGCATCTCCATTCATTTCAGTGGGGAAAGTTGATTTGCATTGCAACTTGCAAGCAAGTGATCTAAATTTGAAGCATGGCCACGTAACATATTAAACTCATAAGTCAATGTACCACTGTCTCTAAAGTAAAGACACTACCTGCGAGTGATGCTGAGGTTTGATGCACACATGGAGACCTCCCATGTTTGCCGATGAGCGTTCTGTGTTTGGACGCAGGTTGACGATGATGGCACCAGTCGGGTATAGCCACTCCAGCGAGCCCTGGGAGCAGCGTAAATAGACCTGCTCCACATCTCTGCGATGCAACTCGTGGCTCAGACCGCTAAAAGAGAGAAGGAAAAAAAAAACATTGCGTTCATGGGGCGTAAAGATAATGACAAAATTTCTCTCTTCTACTGATGTGGTCAGCGTGCACCAGTAACCTCAACACCGAAATGACAGGGGGTTATTAAGTTGTTAGAAGTCAGATAAAGGTCACAGAACCACATGTGAAGTCCTGCCTTGCATTCTTTTATAACTTTAGGAGGGAGACAACTTGGACAAGTGATCAAAGGCTCCATATGGTTTTATTTACTTAAGATAGGAACTGGAGATTAGACATTCCTGTGCTGGGCCCCGTGGACTGCATTTCAACATTTTAGATTAGCTAATTAGGTTTATACCGAACATGTCAATTTAAAACAACCACCACAGTTAGGGGCAG